CCAGAATTCTACTACTATTGGGGTGTTCTTTGGGTTGTCTCTAGGTTGGGACCCTACTCCTTTGTTCCCCTGTTGCTCATTTCTGACTAGCTACCTAACATTCCCCCCTCAAGTATTAGGGACCCAAATCTTTGGGGTTTGGGGGCAATGACCTCTCTGGCTACTTGAGGCTGAGAAGAGACAAAGGTGGAGGATTGGGTCCCTTATACTTGCTCTCTGTCGACAGGGGGCAACAGCTGTTGATGCTTGTCTAAGGGACTGCAGTATGGTACAGGATCCATCGACTGGAGTGAGTGATAGTTTCCTTGAAGAACCATTCGTAGATGAATTGCTTGGACCCTGGAAGAAATAAATTGAACACGGTGGTTTAGAAGTGGTGGTCTACAAATAGTCAGGGGTTGAAGTAACCCACCCCCAGCTCTGAGTAGATAGGCAGAGCCAGCAGGGCTGAGAAAACTTGAGTGAGACATTTCGTTTGGTTAATTGATAAGGAGTAGGTGGAATCAGAATAGCCATGGTAAAAATGAACAAAGAAGGTCAAAATAAACTCAATCTGGTTTTTTTTTCCCTTCTTGAAAAGGAACCTCAGGTACTTGTGAGTGATAAATCCAACTGGAAATTCTGGGGTACAGGGCAAGGTTCTTTCCAAATTGGCTATAACTGAGAGACTGGAGAATTATCCTGTACACCTTGATTAATAAAGTGGTTGAGTGACCTGACATATGAGTCTTGGGTCATAGAGTCAGTGTGGTAGGAGAACAGAGAAGGAGATTATGTATTTATTGTAAATTGGGTCCCCCCTCAAGTTGTAAATCTTGTAAATCATGAGCTAATGCTTGACCAAAAAGGTGGGGGCTGTCCCGGAATCCCTGAGGAAGTACTGTCCAAGTCAATTGCTGATGGACTCCATTAGGGGAGTCTCATATGAAGGTAAATAGAAATTGTGACTGTGGACTCAGAGGGATGGAAAAGAATGCATCATTTAAGTCCGAAGTAGTAAAACAGTCTCTGGAGGTATGTTTTCCAGGAGAATATATGGATTAGAGACTAGTGGTATATGGGTGAATGGATACTCATCCAATAGGTAATATAAAGATGGAGTAAAATAGAGAAATTGGCTTACTGGGGTCTCCCAGAAAGGTGCAGGTTCAAGAGAATGATCTAAAGAAGGAAGAACAAAGCAGATGGCCCCAGTATTCAAGAAGGAAAGTAATTGTCCTACCCACCATGACCATTGATTCCCTTGGCTCCAGTCCAGTGTGTAGACAAATATAGATATTCTGCCAACTGGAGGGGGCCTCTTCAGTCCAGTGCAACTATTTGGAAGCCTGTGGTTCGCTCTGACCCAGGGGTCCTTTGACTCTTGGGGCAGAGGGCAGCCCAGAGACCCAACTGCTGACACTTGGAGCAAGCACATTTGGGAGGCTTGTCCTTGTTGGGACACTTTTTGGCCCAGTGCCCAGTTTGGTGACAGGTCGATGAGTTCTAGCTGTTGGGAGCTGGGTACCCACAGCTGGGCTATGATTGGCCTTAAAAGGCTGCTAGTATTTGGGCAATCCTAGCTTCTGTCCTTTCCTTCTCATGAGCCTGGCCTCTAATGCCTGGTCTGATAAGGTCTGTAGTGTGGATCTTTGGTGTAGAAGAGGCGATTGAAATGGTACATAGTGAGACTAATTAGGGATGGAGCAGAGTGGCTATAGAGTTATAGTGAGGTAAGACAGGGCAAATTCTCAGCATAGGGGGAGAATTGAAAGCCTTGCATTGAGAGAAGGGGGTTCTTGGTGAAGAGTAAGAAAGAAATCAAAGGTACAAGTGAGTCTAAGAGAAACTCAGAGGGACAGAGACAATTGAAAGATGGGGACAGTGTAAAGTCCCCGAGAAGGACCAAGAGAAAGAGAAGGACCCCAAGTGATTGGGGAATTAAGTTTATAGATTTATCCATTTTCTGGTTACAGGAATATTTCATAGCTTCTAGTTCATTGTTGGAGGAACCTGTGGAGACTCAGAGACATTGGTATAGGTTCACCTTATTGGGTACTTTCTGGATTTCTTGGATCTGGATATGTTTTTTCTCCAGGACAGGAAAGTTTTCAACCACTATTTCTTTGAATAAGCTTTCTGCCCCATCCTCTCCCTTCTTCTGGGACCCCTATAATGTGAATATTGGTCCTCTTGATGGTGTCTCTTAAGTCCCTTAAGCTATTTTCACTCTTTATTCTTTTTGTCTCTCAGATTGGATGAACTCCAGTGCCCTGTCTTTGAGTTTGCCGATCCTTTTTTCCTGTTTGATCTAGCCTGTTGAACTTTTCAATTCGGTTATTATATTATTTCACTCTATGATTTTTGTTTGATGCTTTAGATTTTATATTTGTTAAAATTCTCACTTTGGCTGTTTTATTTTGTCATTTTGTGGCTGTTTTTGCCCTCTTGTTGTTGTGGTTATTACAGCATTCTGTCGCAGCTCTCATCACTGAAATCATGTGCCTCCTTAGGGCATTCTTCGTCTTTCTAAAATGTACTTTTAATAAATTTTTTCTAAATATCACTGACCTGTGATTCTTTCCTACATCAAAGAGGAAGAACCAAGGACTTCTTTGCTTACTTTTTAACGGCCATTAGCCTGAGAAAGGAAATTTTACGTATGATCAAGCTAAGTGTCAACAGTAGACTAATACAAAATTAGACTTGTATTTTTTTCTCTCTGCTGAATAAGATAATGTTTCTGAAAACTTCAGACTGCTACTGATACTATGAAAAAGTTTTCTGAGTAGAAAACAAAAATTCTATACTTCATCAAAATAATCTGTGTTTTAAATCAACAGCTGGGTACTTTTGTCTCAATGTCTATGGGTCTCCGCAGGTTCCTCCAAGACACATTATAATTAAATTGTCAAGAGTTAACAAGGAGAGACTCTTAAAAGCAGCCAGGAAAAAAGCAACTTGTTACCTACAAGGAAACGTCCATAAGATTCCAAGGGCGGGGAAGGGGGCGAAGGTGCAGGGGGCGGGGGAGGTTAGCAGAAACATTGCAGGTCAGAAAGAAGTGGAATGATATACTCTAAGTGTTGAAAGAAAAAGCTGCCAACCAAGAATAATACTCTCTTTGGCAAGTTGTTCTTCAGAATTGAAGGAGAGATGAAGAGTTTTCCATACAAAACTGTAGAAGTTCATCACCAGTAGACCAGCCTTACAAATGTTAAAGGCTGTTCTTCGATCTGAAATGAAAATTACTAATCAACTAATTAGTAACATGAAAGCATAAAACTATCTGATAAAGGTAAATATATAAATTCAGAATACTCTACTATTGTAATGATGGTGGGTAAATCATCTACAATTCTAGTATAAAGGTTAAGGCAAAAGTATTAAAAATAACTGTAACTACAATAATTTATTAATGGATATGCGACATAAAAAAAGATGTAAATTGTGACAATAAAAACATAAAAGGTAGGGAGGAGTGTAAAAATGTAGAGCTTTTGTATGTGGATATATATCTGAAGGAAATAAAGTCGGTGTCTCAAAGATATCTGTACTTCCATGTTCATTGCAGAATTATTCAAAATAGCCAAAATATAGAAACAACTAAAATGTCCATCAATGGATGAATGGATAGACATATATGATATTCCATAAATGTAATGGATATATATTCCATATACATAATGGAATATTATTCAGCCACAAGAAATCCTGCCATTTTTGACAAGGATGGATACTGAAGGCATTATGCCAAGTAAAATAAGTCAGAGAAAGACAAATACTGTACGATGTCACATGTAGAATCTAAAAAACCCATAGAGTAGAATGTTGGTTGCCAGGGCCTGGGGTCGGGTAGAGTGTGTATGTGTGTGGAAGGGGGCGGGGCAGATGTTGGTTAAAGGGCATAAACATCCAGTTATAAGATGAATAAGTTCAGGGGATCTAATGTATAGCATGATGACTATCATTATATTTGAAAGTTGCTGAGAGCAAATCTTAAATGTTCTCACCACAAAAAGAAATGATAATTATGTGATGAGATGGAGGTGTTAGTTAATGCTATGGTGGTAATAATTTTGTAATATGTGTGTGTCAAAACAATACATGTACACCTTAAACTTAGTTATGTCAATTATAACTCAATAAAGCTAAAAAAAAAATCTTGCTTTGTGCATTTTAGTGTACCTCTAAGCTAAAAAAAAAAAAAAATATCCTCTAATTGGCATTTCTGTGTATTTCCAAGAACCCTAACCCAATGGAGAAATAACATGAACTTTACAATTGTTCTTGTCATTTTGATTGCCATTCATTAAAATACTATCTCATATAACTATCCTGGTGGCTGGATGTCTAGAAGTCATAGAATTATCCATTCATCTGCTCCAAAGGTGGATGTGCACTACAGAACAAGGCAGAAACACAACGTATTTAGCTGCACTCACAATGTGAGTATACAAACAGGTTTCTCAAGGAGTGTTTCCTGGGCCAGCAGCACCAGCATCACCAGAAACGCATTAGAAATGCCCATTCCAGACCTACTAAATCAGAAACTTTGGGTTGGGGGCCCGACAACCTGTTTAACAAGCTGTCCAGAGGATCCTGGTGCGCACTAAATCATCAGTAGTCAAAGACAAAGTAAATTATATGAATGAAAAAATAACTTTTTTAAGGTCCGCAATTCAACTCAAGGCAGCTACGTGGTGACACAGGGCCTCAGTAGCGCAGACCTCCAGATTGAATGGAATGAGATGGGACTTGGAAACTGGTTGAGTGCCAAGTAGGAGATGCTTCTAACAGTGACCAGTGGAGACCATCCACCACAAATCCAGTCTGTGCATGTATTGTGTTCCCCTTGACCAAACATGACTGGTTGTTATGTGGGTGATGACTGTTTGCAAGGACATGTTCAATGAGATGCCAATCAAGGCATGTTTTCTTACGTAGATCATGTGTCACAACCAACTGAAAGCTAGAAAATGCGGCATCACTGACGGCGTCATCAATGTCAGTCAGGCGGATCATAGTAGGAAACACTTTTATTCTTTAAAAGCAATTGCTTTAAGAAAAAGGAATCAAAATCATATTTATTGGTAATCACACTGGCCATTATCAGAATAGTACATGCTATTAGTAAAAAGCAACTTTTTTTCTGAGACACTTCTTGCTGGATGCATCTATTCTATAATGTGAACAACACACACAATGAGAGTGTTTAGCAGTGAGCAAGACTCAGACTCTTAAATGGACGAGAGCCTTGGCTTACTCGAAATACTTTTCTTGGCTGCAGCAATTGACCAAATAATTTGATTATATTTTTTCAGCACTTAGAAAGGCTAACCACCTAATCATGCCAGAGCTCAATAAACCAGCATTAATTACCAAAAAAGGCACTTTAAAATACATTTGACAGTGACAGTAATGCAGTGAGAAATGGTTTAAGCCCTGCACTAAACTTTGTCATAGTTCATAAAGATAGTGCATTGTCTCCGTGTGTATGTATAAATATATATATGTACGTGTATATACCAACATCCATATACAGAGGGTCCTCCAATAACATCGTTTCATTCAATGTTGTTTCGTCATGTTGATGAGATGCCATAGGAACTTAACTCTCATTTACATGAACTAGCCAATGGCAAAATTGGCTGTTATACATTGTTTTTGCTTAAAGTCAGAATCTACTGACAACATTAAGTGAGGAATATTGTACATATATATGTATATATATATTTACCTATCTTCTTAAGTCTCTGGGGAGGAAAAAAAAACCATTTGTTTCCTTTAATTGATAGTACATAAAAATTCTAGTCACTCTATTTGGAACAGAGGAGGAGGGGATTAGTAAATTAATGTAAAAGTACCCTACTACACCTTTCTATAACAAAAGCAGTAAAATAAATACTCAAAACTTTCCTAGGTTGTCGACTATTAAAATAATAAAATCTAGCGTTCTAAAAAAGTTTATCCCACTGGGGGAACAGGGTAAACATTTTTGGTACTATAATTCACACACTCACACACTTGTATTGCTTAAGTTGAAGAGAGTGAAATGAACAGAGGAAATTTCTTCCACAAATTCCTTCCTTTCAGTATCCAAGTTTTAGCTATATTGTGTCATTTTGCTTAGCTTAACATATAAACGAAGTCTTGTATAAATATATCTCTAGGATGCTTGCACAGAGTACTAAAAGTACTTAGAAGACTTCTGTGAAATAAACAGAATTGGCCATATGTCAGTTCACTGCATACCTCAGGCTTGGCTATTTTAGCTTGAGGTTTTGACAGACCAAACTCATCTGTGTCAGAGGTGAACAAAAGGCTTACTTGTCTTTCTCCGGAACAGGTATACAGACACAATCTTATTTTAGGATATGAAAAAACAATTAGTAATGACATTTAAAGTTTAATTTCTAACTGTATAATGCCTGAGAACAAAAGTCAAAGCAATTTTTGAAAGGTTAAAAGTCAGACTCTGGGCATTTCCGTTTTTTAGCTGCTGGCTCTTCAGTCTTCTGTAACTCTAAAGTGCTTGAGTTGGATTTGAGGCTGGCGTCTGCTTTAAGGTTGTCCATGGCAACAGTGAATCCTGAAAGAAGGTACCCCCCACCTCCACTCATCAGTAGTTTGGGATGACTTCGATCTGGCAAAACCTAATTAAGACAGAAAGACAGATACTCATGTTTTCCTAAGCAGGTAAAGTACATGCTAATAATATACAGGCCAGAAATCAGAATTTCAATGATACAGGTTGTCTTGAAGATTTAAATGGACCAATTCCCAAGGAACTCCTTCATTTACATGATAGTACAGATAAAAGTACAGAAATTCGTTTAAGTGATTTTGTGTTGAAAAATAAAACTGAAGTCGTTTCTCTTAAATCTGGAACAAATATCTGGCAGCATATCAGCAAATGGTTTGTGTAGTGCTCTGGGCCTGTGTGAAGCATTCTTCCTCCTGGCTCCAGGATGCTTCATGGCCAACAGTGGAGCTTGAGTCTGTGGAGATGTAGCTACTAAACATACACCCATACTCTCCCTTTCCTAATGTCCTGTTGACTCTGACAAGACTTCTTTTTTCCTGTTACTGCAGTTAAATAAGGTAACCACCATGAAAGGCAGGGTTGCCCAGGGCTGCAGAGTGTCCTGGATTAAGTAAGATGTCCAAGCAGCGGGGAAGGGCCTGTAGCAATGGTGGAGGTGCTCCCTTAGATCTCTCTTCAAGAGGGAACTGGCGGTGAGGAATTCAAGCAGCAGAAGCTTCTCCTTTGGGATACACTGTAGCATTCACTCCCAGGAAGGCCATGGGATGCTCCAAGTTGATAACTGAGCATGGCTACCAGGACTGTACAATTTCAACCAATACAGGGCTCCTTTAATGGATAATCTTTGCTCTAGGGCTCCCCATCATCCTGGCTGAGATTTCCTCAGAG